CCCATGGGGCAGTTCCTTTCCTCTCATCTCCCTCCTTTCTGGATTTTAGATATGCATACACACAGGTCCTGCATATTTTTCAAGCTGACTTGAACTGCATAGTGGAATCTGGCTGCCTTAACCACCATACCATGAGCTAACCCAAGAAACTAGAATTTTGTCTGTCTGGGATTTTGAAAAAGAAAACAAAGTTGGATTTATGCCGCCTGGTTTCAAGACTTACTAGGAACCCACAGTAATCAAAGCAGTATTAGTGAAAAAAAGACATAGATCAGTGTGTGTGTGTATATGCTTGGACAGAATCTGGTCCAGAAATAGTCATATGTATATGGTCAGTTGATTTTTTAAAAAGATAGAAGGTCAATTTAGAGGAAAAAGGATAGTAATTTTTTTTTTTGAGTGTTGCTATAATGCACATGGATTCACCTGAGAGAGAGAGAGAGAGAGAGAGATTAAGTGAGAAGTCATCCCCCAGAGGGGATGGCCACATCACAATCCCTTCTCCATTCTCAGGATTTTAGGCACACACTCGCATGCACAAGTGCCCGGCATAAATTTCAAGCTGTCAGGTCCAGGACTCAAATTGCAGTTGGCCATGTGGGAATACAATACCTTAACCACCATGTCACTTGCTGGCCCCAAGGATAGTCTTCAACAAATGAACTGTTTGTCCAACAAATGGAACAATTGACCGTGTATGTAAAAATGTGAACTTTGGGGGCCAGGAGATAGTGTGGTGGTTGTGTTGGACTCTCACCTGGCCAACCGCAGTTTAAGTCCTGGACCTGGCGGCTTGCTTTCTTAATTTCCCTCTCTTTGGTGAACACATATGCCCTATAAAAAAAAAAAAAAATCTTTTAAAAAATTGGTCCATTTTTTGGACCAGCAGTTGGCGCAGCAGCTATGTTGCTGGACTCCATGTAGTTGATTGTGGTTCAAGTCCTGGACCCGGTGGCTTAAACTCACGCCAAGCGCATGTGCGTGCTTGCCCAAGATCCCGAGAGGAGAATGGAGGAGAAGGGATTGAGGCATGGCCATCCCCCCTGGGGGGTGATTTCTTACTTTTTGTCTCTCTGTCTCTCTCTGTCTTTCTGGTGAGCGCACGCGCCCTATAACAAAAACCTCTCAAAAAAAAAATTGGTCCATTTTTTTGTAACATATTTTAAAAAAGTGTAGGGACCTGCAGATGGCATGAGGGTTACATTGCTTGACTCCCTTATGTCCAACCACAGTTAAAGTCTCAGACCTGGAGGCTTGAAACTCACCCTAGGTGCATGGAGTGCATGTGTGCCCAGAATCCTAAAAGGAGGATAGAGGAGAAAAGATTGGGAAGTGGCCATCCCCTCTTTAGGGTGATTTCTTGCTTTCTATGTCTCTGTCTGTCTCTGTCTAGGGCGAGATACATGCCCTATAGCAAAAATCTCTCCAAAGGAAGAAAAAAAAGAGTGTAATGCGTATCATAGGTGTAAATGTAGAACCTGAAATGATTATAATTCTAGCAGAAGACAAATCTTTGTGACCTTAGGTTAGGCAAAAAAAAAAGAAAAAAGTGACACCAAAAGTGTGATTCATAAAGTGTGATATCACATCATAAGACATAATTCATAAAAGAACACCTGATAAAGAACTTCTGCTCTTTCGGGGCTGGCAGGTGGCATGGTGGATAAGGGCACTGGACTCCAACGTGGCTGACCACAGTCCTGGCGACTGGCTTTCTCACTTTCTCTCTCTCTATCCCTCTTTGGTCAAAATAAATAAAAATAAAATAACAAATAAAATAAAGTTAAATAAAATAATTCTTTTTTTTTTTTTTTTTAGAGGTTTGTGCTGAAGGGCACATGTGCTTGCCAGAGAGACAGACAGAAAGCAAGAAATCACCCCCCAGGGGGGATGGCCACATCATAATCCCTTTTCCTCCATTCTCCTCTGAGGATCTTGGGCACATACGCACACATGCCTGGCGTGAGTTTAAGCCACCAGGTCCAGGACTCAAACCACGGTTGACTACATGGGAGTCCAGTGACATAGCCATTACACTAGCTGCTGGCCCCCAAATAAAATAATTCTTAAAAACAAAACAAAACAAAAAAACTTCTGAACTTTGAGAGGGACTTACATATATGAAAAAATAGGCCACAGAGCAGGAGAATGTATTCACACATTATATACCTGATAGAGGATTTGTGTCCTCTGTGTACAATAAGTCTTAAGACACATTAAAAGAACAATGAATTAAAAATGGACAAAAGAGGACTACCTGGTGGTGTGGTTATTAAGGCTTCTGGATCCTACATGGCTGACTACAATTTGAATCCCAGGTCCAGCAACTTGAAAAATATGCTGGGCACCTGTGTGCGCATGCCAAAATCCTAAGAGGAGAATGGAGGAGGGGATTGCAGCATAGCCAACCCCCAGGGGGTACTTTCTCATTTTCCCATCTTTTCTGTCTAGTGAGTGTATATCTATAGCAAATTTCAAAAAGGCAAAAAGATCAGCCATGATGGTGCAGCACAGCTACTCTGATGCTGGAGTCATATGAACAATTGGGGTTTGATTCCTGGGGGGGATATATACATGCCAGATGCATACATGTCCATGATCATGGCTGACTGGGGAGGATCATAGTGTAAGACCTTGTTAAGGGTGTTTGTCTCTCATGAAAGAAAGAAAAAAGAATACTTTTTTGTTTTTTTTTTTGGAGAGGTTTTTGCTATAGGGCATGTGCGCTCGCCAGACAGAGACGGAGAGACAGAAAGCAAGAAATCACCCCCCAGGGGGGATGGCCACGCTGCAATCCCTTCTCCATTCTCCTCTCGGGATCTTGGGCACACATGCACATGTGCCCGGCGTGAGCTTAAGCCACTGGGTCTGGGACTCGAACTGCGGTCGACTACGTGGGAGTCCAGCAACATAGCCATTATGCTAACTGCTGGTCCCCCAAGAATACATTTTTTAAATGGGCAAAAGAGGGCCAGCAGGTGGTGTGGAGGCCAAGATGCTGGATCTTACATGGCCAACATGACAATTTTGAGTCCTGGACCTGGCAGCTTGAAATTCACACTGGATGCATGTGTTTGCATGCATGATCAAAAATCCTGAGAGGAAACTGGAGGAGGAAGGATTGGGGGCATGGCCAGCTCCCCTGAGGCATGATTTCTCACTTTCTCTCTCTCCTCCCCCCTAGCAAGAGTATGCACCCTGTAGCAAACTTAAAAAAGAAAAGAAAAGAAAAGAAAAATGTGGAGCACTTAGACAGTAACAGATGCCTAATTTACTGTCAGTTCTTCCCTCCATGGTCAAATGCTGCCTTCTCTCACATGTTAGTGTCTGCTTTCCCTTGCTTCATACAACTGGCTCTGGGGGCAACAGGTGTCTTTAAGAAAATTGCATCGGGCCTGGCTCCATGGCCTGGTGGTGAAGTGATCCCACGTGGTCAGCCATGTGGTTCAGTCCTGCCCTAGTAGGGGGCAGGGGGTGCATGTATGTGTGCCCTAAGTCTCAACAGGATGGAGAAATGGAAGAGAAGGGATATGTCATGACCACACCCCATCAGAGAGTGCTTTCTCCCTCTCCCTCTCTTTGTTTCTCTCTGGCAAGTACCTGCACCTGTGGAGAGCAGCCAGTCTGAAAACATGTGATTAAAACATGTGGCCTGTAGACACATGCAGATATGCTTCTGTAAGCTGCTCTAGCAGGGCTATTGAGAAGCACCTACATATGAAAGCAGTACCTGCCTGTTGTCAGTGGTTGTCTTCCCGTTACTGTTGATACCCAATACGTCCATACTGCCCAGTATCAGGCTAAAGGAAGTCATAAGCGTTTATCAGATTGTCACCCAAAAGGATCAGAGAAATTATATGGCACCTGGCATTTTCACATCTTCAGTCAGTTTACATCCCAAAACAACTGGCTTTGCATTCTGATTTCTCCTCCCTTATTCTCTTTGCATTCCACTTCCTTCTTTCCCATTCCTTTTACATCCCATTTCCCCTTACCCCATTCTCTGCCCTTTAAAAGAATAAACCTGAGGCTAGTTCTGGTCGCAGTTTCTCCACCAGAGAGGCTGTGCCTACCCGATCCTCACTTTTCTATACTTGTGTGTCTGTGTGTGTTTGTTATTGCATCTATTTCTTTTTTGGAGAGGTTTTTGCTGTAGGGTGCATGTGCTCGCCAGACAGAGAGAGACAGACAAAGCGAGAAATCACCCCCTAGGGGGGATGGCCCTGCCGCAATCCCTTCTCCTCCAGTCTCCTCTCGGGATCTTGGGCACGCACGCACACGCGCCCGGCGTGAGTTTTAAGCCACCGGGTCCAGGATGCGAACCGCGGTTGACTACGTGGGAGTCCAGCGACATAGCCATTACACTAACTGCTGGTCCCTATTGCATCTATTTCTAATCCACAGCCTTCCTCACTCAGAAACGTGTTCATGCTGAGCTGTCCCGGCATGTACCCTGTATCAAAATATTAAAAGAAAAATTGCACCAAATAGCACTTAGCAGAGGCAGTGGACATTCTGGAATGCCTGTGATCTCTATTCCCTCCACCCTCCAACTTACATCAAACCTCAGCCACGTCTCTTAGTGCCCAATGTTCTCTCTGGTCAGCACTCTCTCTTCCAGAAGCCCAGGAAGGTTAAGCTCCTGGCCCTTGACCTCGAAAGTCAGACGTTGCAGGTTTTCCTTAACTGACGATTTGCCAGACCGCAAGTCAGGCTACCTCATTGGGTCTCTTGATTTGCCTTGCACCTTCTTCCTTGAACAGAGGAGTTTTGAGGTCCTTTACCTGCCCCAGACTTCGGTCAAGTTAGTGCAAGTTCTGGGAAGACGGGGTTCCCAACTCCTAAACCTCAGTTCAAGGGATGCCCCACTTTATCTCCAGTTTTCCCCATCATGTGGCCATGTCACGTGATCCCAGGGCTGCTGGGGGTAGGGGAGCGAGCCCAGCCCTGGGCCTACAGCAGCAGAAGCAGCAGCCTGAGGCTCTGTGCAGTCTGTCGGGGTCTGGGCTTCTTCCTCCTCACGGCCACGTCCGCCCCCAGTTGCCCTAGTGACTGTGTGGCCCTCCCTCTGCTGCCTGCCACCCGCAGCCGTATAAATAGAGGCGCAGAGCAGCTGAGTTCTCTTGGCAGTCACCATGAGGGCTCTGGTTCTGTTCTGCTGCTTTGTGGCCTCGCTTCTGCTCTCAGGACAAGCAGGTATGCTCCACACGGCTCGGGCCAGGCCTCTTCTGAGCCCCACTGCATGCCCCAAATCTTCTGTTTACTGTGGGTAGGGTGGGGGTGTCAGGCTGATGGCTAACCTCTGCTCCATGCTGATCTCACTCATCACCTTTCTTCTTGGGGCCAAGGCCGTGGAGAAAGCTAGGTGCTGGAGAGCCTTGGGGCAGGGAGCTCGTGGAGAGGCAGTGGAAGTAGAATAGTAGGCTGAGGGCAGACTGGCTGAGGCCTGGGCCAGGTCAGAGAGGAGCCTGACCGGGGAGATGCTGAGAAAGAGGACCCTGAAAATCAAAACTAGAGGAGCCTCCAAGGTGGACAAAATAATACAATCTTGGAATTGGAGGTCATTCAAGTGACCCACCTGTTGGGAGATGGGGCAGCAGCCTTGATCTCTGTTGGAGACGTGGGTTTGCATGACTGAGGATGGGGACACGGGCAAACCTGGGGATCACTTGGAGAACTGGGATAGAGCCAGAGTCCATTTGGACTGGGCTTGGGAAGAGGGTTATAAGTGGGCTGGAACAGTACTGGCGTGGAGTTCAGGAGGGAAGGGGCCTGTTTCGGAGCAGAGTCTCCGCTGGGGCAGGGGCTTTCGCCAGGAAGGGGGCTCGGCCCTGCACGTTGGGCTTTCCTTTGACATCTCAGCATTTTGTGTAGTGGAGGGGTGGCTCGGGTTGCAGCATGGGGGCTATTTATAGGCTATGGAGGGGACATCAGATCATTTTGCCACCTCTCTTGTTCTAGGACTCTTGGGGCTGGATCCCCTTGGTGATGCTTCAGGGAGGGCTCTGGGGATCCCGCCTGGGAACCCAGGATTCCCCCCGCTTCTTCCTTTCATGACCTGACGGTCTTCACCCAGCCCAGCTCAGTCTGTGCACATGGGACTGTGGGACTGAGTCCAGTCTGGTCTCAGGTCTTTTAAGACTCTGTCTCTTGAGGGGGCTGCAAGGGCACCATCCCAGGCAGGCGAGTAGACGTTGGAGGAGCAAGTCAGCGCTTTGGGTGTCGGAGACAGAATAAGGCAGGGGGCTTCAGCCATTGCATGTACAGCTGGGAGCTGCCCTTGTCTGTCCTTGAGTTAATTTGGGCTCTGTGGGGCTGCAGGGCTAGAGCGGCTGTCAGGTGGCTAAGTATGGAAACAGCAGTGTAATTGGATCCTGAGCCCCAAGCCACTGTCACCCTCTCCCCTTGGTGGCCCCTCCTCTGCTCGGCCCAGCCCCAGCTGCCACCTCACTTGGCTTCCATAGAGCAGGGCCCCAGGGATTTTTAGCCTTTTAGGGACATCCTTTATCTTTCTTCCCACTGAGGGTGCTAGACATCTGGGCCCTGAGATGTGTGTCTGTCCCTGTCCTGTAACCAGGGTTGGTGCTTCCCTCCCTCCTCCTGCTCAGCTTTTGGGCTGTGGATCCTATCCACCTGGGTGGCTTTATCACTACTCCACTCTTGTAGACTGTAGATGCTCCAAAAGATAACTTCCTCCTGCACCCTTGGAGAGGGTCCAGACTGCACTCTGTAATGTTCTTCCTAGTGGTCCATTCCCCCCAGAGCTGTGCCAGCTGATAAGTGCCACCCTACCTGAAGGTGGCATCTCTGCTCCTGAGCGTTTTCCCACCCACACCTGCAGGCAGGGCTCCACTTCCTCCCTTGCTCCTGGGTCCTGCTGGACAGGTAGTGGGCTCTGCAGCCCCCTTTTCTCCCCTTCCTGTGCTCCCTCACTCGCAGCACATATGCTGGACTCAAGTGGAGCACCCAAGCTTGGCCACCATACACCTCCCTAGCCTTCAGTCCTGCCCTCAGTCCTCTGCAACCACCAGGGTCCTCCTTTTGGTGAGGAAGACCTGACCTGGGGATAGACCTGCTCAAGGACGAGGGAAAGGACATTAGAGATGCTTTCTCTCTCTCTCTCTCTCTCTCTCTCTCTCTCTCACACACACACACACACACCCTACTTCTGACAGGGTCTTGATACCACGATCCACCCCCAGTACTTCTTCCCCAGATCAAGGGCGCACATGTGCCCCTGTGTTCAGGTAGTCTCTAGATGTGAACCGGAACTTTCCCATATGGTCAGCCTCACAGAGTGAGGAAGATTTCCTTGAGCTGAGTGGATCAGGAAATGTTTCAGATGAGGGAATATATGAGCTGGGCCTTGCAGGAAGTAGGGATTCAGGCACAGGAAGATAGCAGGGAGGAAATCTCATGTAAGGGGAACGGGCTGAACAATCTTATGTCAGAACGGAGGCTCTAGGAAGAACCAGAAAAGGGTCTCTGTTCCGTCTCAGGTGAGGTGAAGAGATGCTCCTTGGGCCATGAGGCACCTACGTGGAAGGCAAGGTTGGGGCTGGGCATGCAGTCCCTAAGTGCTGGCTTCTGGCAGCTGTTGGTGGAAAGGAGTGGCACGAGGAAGACTGGCCAGTCAGCTGGGCCAGAAGTGCAGGAGAAGGTGCAGACCTGGGTGAGAGGTGGGAGAGCAGAGAACGGTTAGCACCTCCCAGCTCAGCCTGTGAGCCACAGCGGGAGACAGGGAGCCCTTACAGGTTTCGCTTAGGTCACTGGATGAGTAATTTTGCCAGAAAGACCAGGAACAAAAGAGAAGAGCAGATTTTAAGCATTTGGTTTGGGGGTTGCCCCATAGCCTAGTAGCTAGCTAAGGGAATTCAATTCCATATGGCTGACTGTAGTTTGAGTCCCAGTCCCAGTGGCTCGAAAAAACGCCAGGCACATGTGCATGCATGTCCAAAATTTCAACAAAAGGGAGAAATGGAGGAGGAGGGATTGTGATGTGACTATTCCCACTGGAATGTGCTTTCTTCCTTTGTCTCTGTTTCCATGATATGTGGTGGGTACATGCACCATCTAGCAATTTAAAAAAATAAATAAAATTTCAGTTTGGGCCATTATGAAGGTTGGATGCCAGAGGACATTTGGATAGAGGTCTGTGACATAGTTAGAAAGGAGAATTGAGGTTGGGGGAAAGTCAGGTCTGGGAATGTAAGCATGAGATTCAAGTACGTAAATGTGAGTGAGCTATGGGATTGCCCGGGAGCCGGTGCAGAGGAACAACAGAGATCTAGGGACTGGTCATTGAAGAGCACTGGATTTAGGGAGTCAGAGAGGAAGAAGATAATGAATGGGTTTCAGAAAGCTGAGGAAAGATTCAAGAAGAGACAGTGACCTGGAAAGAAGAGGTTGTCCTCTGAAAGAGGGGCAGTCAGCAGGGTTAGCCATCACAGAGACGGAGGGAGATGAGATGCTGACTTTGACAACCAGGTCACTGGCAGGTAATGAGAGGTTTAAGAGTATGAGGACATGGAGGCAACATATTTAGACACAGACTTAAAAATTAAATTTGGGTGGGGCCAGCAGGTGGTGTGGTGGTTAAGGTGTCTGGATTTCCACATGGCCAACCGCCATGAATTTGAATTCCAGACCTGGTGACTTGAAAGTCACACTGGGCACTTGTGTGTGCATGCTCAAAATCCCAGGAGGAGAAAGGATTATGGCTTGGCCGTCTGACCTAGGGGGTGATTTCTCACTTTCCCTCTCTCTCTCTCCAGCTAGCATACATGCCCTATGGCATAACCTAAAAAAATAAACAAAAGTCTGAGGAAGGTAAAGCCAGTAACACAGTAACAGTAAGTGGGGACAGATGGGCTCATGGAAGGAGAGGGAGTCTTTCAGTACTAGAGAGGACTAAGTTTGTTATGGGCCACTGGGGAAGGGTCTTGTGGAGAGAAAGACTGAAGAATACCAGGAATAGATGGGAGGGGGGTGGTGTGACCGGGCTGTCAGAGGCTCACGAGTAGGAAAGGTCTGAGGTATGACTTACGGGGAGACATGCTTGGCTCTGATGAGATGTGTCGAGGAAACCTCAGGTGGACATCATGTATAAGGGCGGACTCAGTGGCTCTGGTGCCAGCCAGGGAGCTTACCTCAGGAACAAGGTCGGAGGTCTTGGTCTACACTAGAGATTGCTATGGAGGGTATAGAAGGCCACAGAGAGGAAGGAACCAGCCTAATGTTCCCAAGGGTACTGGTGGCTCCTCCCAGTACCCTGAGTTGTGTGGTACTAGATGGTAGATGAACAAACAGCACAGTGAGAGGAGGCTGGGAGGCCAGTGGACACCTCAGAGCTGTGATCATGAGAGGCCTGGAGAGCTGCCACCCAGAGCTGGGATGCTGTGGAGAGTGGAGAGCGAAAGTCAGCTCCAAGCTCCACCAGCCGAGATGTTCACCAACAGCTATCTGTGGAGTCTCCAGTGGGCAAAGCACTGATTCTAGCAGATTTTCAAAGTTTATCTTATTTCCTCTATGAGAAAGGGAAAGA